TCCTTTAATTGCTACCCAATACCCTTTGCGTGAATAAATAAATGAATAATAACGTAAACCATAAAAGGCTTTCAGTTTGTAGAAATCGCTTATTAAAAGAAACAAACAATAATTCTGAAATGTCTCTCGACATCTCTAGTTTCAACTAGACGCTCGGCTGTTTCCGTAATTCCTGACGAGCTCTTGTATGACGTCACAGTCTAGATGTCTTGTGCGACTTTACGTTTGAAGTGTCGGATCAACGTTTCAGGTGTATTTTTGAAGGAGTCATTTTCACATTGTGACGTCACTATGATGGAGAAAATAAATACTTTTCATGTGCTTATTTTTATTACAGAAAATGTGCATAGCTATAGATGTGCCAAATTCCATTCTGATCTATATTGTGGTTTTGTAAATATTGAGATAGTTTGCGAAATTTTTGATCAACCCTCGTTCATTCTGCAGGTACACATTTTCAGTCATTTTAAGGGATACTTGTCATGAAGAGAATATGATAAATCACAAAAATGCTTCTTTAAACATAGTTGTTTGTAATTTTTAGCTCTACTGGTCAGAGACCAGAAGAACTTATGCGATAGTAATGCGTCCGGCGTCCGTCCGTCTGTCTATCCGTCTGTCTAGCTGTCTGTCTGTAAACAATTTTTCAAAATGCTATTTTTACTGATTTCAATATAACTTGGCACACAATTAGACTACACTTAAATACATAATTCTATTTATCGGTTTTTAGTTTCGATAAACAGTGTTGCGGTGGTTACTTAAAATAGAAATTTCTGTGAAATTCTTTCAAAATGCTACTCCTCCTACAGTTTTGGTCTGATTTCAATATAACGGCACACAAGTAGACTACACTTAGATACACAATTCTGTATATCGGTTTTTCATTTCGACGAACGGTTTTGGCGTTGTTAATTATAAATAAAAATAGAAATTTCTGTGAAATTCTTTCAAAATGCTACTCCTCCTACAGTTTTGTTCTGATTTCAATATAATGGCACACAAGTAGACTACATAAGATACACAATTCTTTTTATCGGTTTTTGATTTCGACGAACGGTTTTGGCGTTGTTACTAAAAATAGAAATTTCTGTGAAATTCTTTCAAAATGCTACGTCTCCTACAGTTTGGTCCAATTTCAATATAACTTTGCACACAAGAAGACTACACTCAAATACATAATTCTATATATCGTCTTTTTTATTTTGATGAAAGGTGTTGGCGTTGTTACTAAAAACAGAATTTTCTGTGAAATTCTTTCAAAATGCTACTCCTATAGTTTTGGTCAGACCGGTTTTTTGACTTTGATAAACATTATTGCCTTGGCTACTAGAAATAGAAATTTCTGTTAAATACTCTCAAAATGCTACTCCAAATACAGTTTTAGTCTGATTATAATATAATGTGGCATGCACGTAGACTTCACTAAGAACATAAAGAGGCTTAATCAAGGATCATTATTCTATTTATCCTGCAACTACTCCTTGCATTGACCTAATAAAGGTAACCTAATAAACCAAAGCTTATATAGTCACTGCACTCGTGCATGTATTCGAAAATATAAGAGGGCTCGGCAAACCTCGCCCTCTATCACGTTTTCTTACCCTCGCCCAATATCGGTTATAATTCAAGATAGTAACCATGTATTTTATATTTATTGCTGTTGTAAAAGTTTCAATTCCCAACTGCTTAAGTACTGTACCCTTCCTCTGCTATAAGACCTAAATGACATAAAAAATAAGTCCATATTTTAAAAAAATATATAAGAAAATTAACTTTATTTTTTTGTCAATCTTCTATACCACAATATAAATGAGTACATGTGGGATTTCAGTTAAGTATCATATGCCGAAACCCAACATGTGTCCCTTTACATGGCGTATACTAAATTTATAAATATTTTTCAGAAGTCAATTGCATAATGTTTTCAGTCTATACGAGGGTTGACCCAAAAGTTCGTGAAATTTTTTCATATTTTATTCATTTTTAAGTTGAATTGGTTGAAAATTACAAATGAAAATATAGACACTTGATGTATATTTTAAATTGAAAAATAATTAAAATATCTTTGATAGTAACTCTATGGCAGTTGCCATAGAAACGGTTGTTTGGTAATGCGGGGGAGACATTAACACGTTCATTTTCATTTTAATTCTTAATACGTGAAATGAGATTTAAACCTGCCTGTGTGGTGTATATAAACGAAAATTATGTCATTATTACGATTGCTTGGTCTTTTATAAACCTTTGTGTGAAAGTTTTACTGATTTTACTGGATATTGTTTATTAATTGATTATTTATTATTCATCTTTAAGTTGTTAGACAACGTCAAATTTCGGTAAAGTCATACGTTTTGTGAAAAATCCGAGATCACTCTATCTTAAACGCGTATATAATAGACAAAGGCTTGGGAAAAAATGCATTTAGTTACTGGTTTTTCGGTGGCATGAGAAATTTAAGAAAATAGAACTGCCATGGATGTTGATTAAAGGTGTGGTGGGTTTTTGGAGACTGTTTTAGGTGCAGATCCCCTTAGACAAATTAAAAGCGTTAATGGACGTTGTCGGCTGCCGTACTGTTCTTGACATTGCTACTGAAATTGAATCATCACTGGAACATCATATGGAAAGATGGGTAGTAATTTGAAAAATGAGTAAAAAATGAAGATAAGTTGGTGCGAGAGGATACCCAGGCTTTTTTTTAAAAAAAAAAAATAGAGAAAAAGACAGCTTTTTGTAGAATTACGAATTCAAATTGGACATTAGGGCGAGTTGCATGTAAAACGTGACGTGACATATCTAACTTGACGTTACGTCGGAGTCTCCCCCGGGTTTCACAACTATCCATTTTCAGAAAGCTCGTGTGACCGCATTGGTAATTGGAAAGTAGTAAAATTTTCCAATATTGTTGCATTATGACTCTATATTATGAATATGCCTGTTGTTTGCTTTCATCAAATGAGGATAAAATTTTAGGAAGGAATTCCACGAACTTTTGGATCAACCCTCGTAATATGATAAATAACAAATCAAAATCATTACAAAAAGTGATTTAATATATACATTTCCCTGAAAACAAATGAGTTTTTTGTACTTACACTTGATTTAATTATTGAAATACAGTTTGTGGTTACTTTCAGTTTACAATAGGAATGGTTATTAATAAATGTATCTTTTTATATAAAAAGATCATATTTGATCGAAAAATTGTTATGAAACACCAACCAACAATATACATGAATAATTATACCCCGGTACCAAAGCACGTTTTTTTAACTAATGATTATGAAACAGGATTGCACATCATTTGAAAATAGATATTACATAAATGAACATACAAGCCTCAACACATCTTTGACTCAGGCATAGAAATTATACTATTTAGTTGTCAGCTGATGATTTCTTAGCATTTTTGCATGCCTTCAAAATAATTACATGCCATTCACAATCACAATAAGTTGCGTAATTTTCTTAAATGATATAGTTTGGATTTGTCAAAAATCAAAATAAGGTCAAGATGTAGTAAATGAAAGGTACGTGGTATCTATGAAAGATAGGTTCCTCTAATGTAAGAAATGTACAAGATAACACACCGCTTTAGATCCACCACAAAACTGACAAATACGGAATTCACATTAGCATGTTGATGTAAACTTCCGGCCTCCCTTTGGCGATTTCTTGGATTGTTGAAGTAGTAGATCGAGTTTGACGAGGGATTTTCAATATTTGCAAGTGTGATGCGCCATTCTGGCTGCAGTGTCCGTAAGTTTAGACATCGAAAGACCGGCCACAGAAAGAATATGGTTGCAGGGAATTTATTTGACGGAGTTCAGACGAAAATACAAGTTGATGTGACAGACCTAGAAAAATTCAAGATGACGCCGATCGGGACCTTGTTTATTATAATTATGTGTATATTTTTTTTATTTAAAGAAAAATAAGTAACTTCAAGTGCCTGTGCCCTGATCATGTCCAGAACTCCTGACCTAGAGGCAATAGATTTACAGTGTTGGATTGTTGATTGATTGTATATTGTTTAATGTCTCTTTCGAGAATTTTTCATTCATGTGGAGACGCCACCACTTGCAGGTTGAGAACTGCAATTTTTTTGTCCTTTACACCGCACTCAGGCCATAGAGCAGTGAGGAATCTTTTTCGTGCAAGTGCCTACTGCGACACGGGGCCTCAGTTTATACGGTCTCATCCGAATAACTGGTCTCCACTTCCTAGAGTGGTATTCGAACCTGCGACGTCAGAATCAACTACTTACTTTGCAACTCTAGAGCAGACCCTCCAACCACAGTCTACTGTGCCACGCGGACAACTACAGTGTTGGAAGAAGCCATTTTACTCATAAAAAATATGTACATGTATGTAATTTTTCTGCTTATTATCTAAAAACAAAGAAAATGATTTTGAAAGAGTTTATGCATTTTAGAGCCCCCCACAAGAATTCCAAACTAAGGGGCTTTAAATTTTTCAATTCTGGAAGAACTCTTGCTCATTATAACCATGTACTAACCTCCTCTGCTAAATACTCAACGGCAAAGAAAGAAGACTTTCAAAGAATCAATGCATTATCAAAGCTATAACCGGACTCCAAAACCACTGAACCAGGAGCGTTGGTTTCATAATTTTGGAAGAAGGATCTTTGCTTATTATAATAATACAATTAGTTTTATCTATTTGTAAATCAGTTATAGAAAAGAAGATTTAAAGAAAATAAAATTCATATAGAATATACAAGTAGTGCGTTTCACTAAATGTCCAATATAGCCATGCCAAAACTCAGAACCCCTTAGCCGAGGGCCTATAAATTTCGTTATTTTAAAACATCAAGTGGAAAAAATTAGATCTTTATTAAACTTTCCTGACAATGTATATATCTAAACTTGCAAAACTATAAGGATGTTCATTTTATCAGATTATTTTGTGTGACCGGTCAACAAGGGGCTTAATCCTCCTAAACACTTGATCCCAGATCTTGGATTTCCGGGGGTCCGTAAAACAGAGTTCCTGGGATTGTATTGTTTGTAGTTTATAAATGAGGTCAATCACTCTTTGTTATCATTTTCTTTTTCATTTACTGTATTTCGCATCGAGCAAGTTTTTTCTTGTTTTCTGAGTGTTCCAGAAAATCATTTGTCTCACATAAATCTGTTTTTGAATCATAAGAGGGTTTCACCATATGAGTCTCAGTTTCATATAATTCCGAGCTGCTATATCCATCTTGTGTCTTTTCATTCATAAATTCATAAAAATCGGAACCATCAAATGATTCATATAACTTGTCTATTGAATCATATAGCTCCGAGCCACTAAATTGAAGTGGTTTATCAAATTTTGTCTTTTCATCACTACATCGGGTAAAAAAATCATTTTCCTTATTCACTACTTTGTTTGTCTTTGACTTATTCTTTATTGAGTATTGGTGTACAACTGATTCACCATGCCACGTTCCATATTCAGTTTGTTTCTTTACAGAAGTCGTATGATCTGATTGAAATGAAGCAGGCAATGAATATTTGCCATAATCAGTTTTATCAATGTCGGCGCTGTGATTAATCAATTTTTTTGTACCAGTCAGATTTCTGTATTTTGAAGCAGTATTTGGTGGCGACTCGATATTTTTATCTGATGGATTATTGTGAGCTCCATGCTCAACCGTCAGTTCTTTTATAATCAAATGACCAGATTTTGAAGCAGCAATACGTGATGGCTCGCCGAATTTATCACATTTGTTGACGTCAGCTCCGCATTTAATTAGTTTCTCCACAACGGAAGTATGGCCAAAGTGTAAAGCTGCAAACAATGGCTGCCTGCCAATTTTATCACGTCGATATATGTCAGCGCCACAATCGATTAGTTTTTCAACAATGCATAAATGACCTGATTTTGCAGCGGCATGCAAAGGCGTCCTGCCAGCCATATCGTGTTGATGGATAACAGCGCCGTGATCAATAAGTTTCTCTACAGTATTCAAATGCCCTGATTGTGAAGCAATAAATAGTGAAGATTTGCCAAATTCATCACATTGATTGATGTTAGCTCCACATTCAATAAGTTTTTCCACAAGAGAAATACGTCCAAATTCTGAAGCAGCAAACAATGGGTTTCTGCCAAGTCTATCACACCGATGTATGTCAGCGCCACTATTGATAAGTTTTTCTACAACATTCAAATGTCCTGACCTTGAAGCAGCAAATAGAGGACACGTGCCATATTCATCGCATTGATTGATATCAGCACCATGATCAATCAGTTTCTTCACAACCCTTAAATGTCCAGACTTTGAAGCAGCAAACAGTGGCGACCTGCCATATTTATCACATTGTTTAATGTTAGCGCCACATTCGATTAATTTCTCCACAGCAGTTAAATGACCTGATTTCGAAGCAGCAAACAGTGGCGACTCGCCATATTTATCACAATTATTGATATTAGTGCCATGATCGATCAATTTCTCAACAACAGTGTATTTTCCAGATTCTGAAGCAGCAACCAAGAGTGATGACTTGTCTAAGCTTTCACATTGATTTATGTCAGCATTGTTTTCAAAAAGACTCTCTTCAACAAATATGTGATCTACTTTTCGAGCAGTGACCAAGTTTGATTCCCCAATCTCATCATCTTTGTTAATTTTATTGCCATCATCAGTTTTTTTCAATGCTACAGATAAATGACTTGATTGGAAAGTTTCATCAATTTGCTGCATGTCATATTCGTACGGATCACATATTTTGAATTGGTCAGATGCTTCAATTTGACACTTGGTGTTAACAAATTCCTTTGCTTTAGGAATAGATTGCGACCAGATTAAGGAACTTGCTATTAAATGTAGTTCTGTGCGAGAAAGATCACTTAATGACTTCCTGTACATATCTACAACTTCTGTTTTCATGAATTTAAGGACAAAATCAATCAATTGTCTATCGCCATTGTAACAGGCAAGTACCAAATGTTTTACTTGATCATTGTATCCACCAAACATCAAATCGGTTGACTCATTATGACTTACAAGCAAATTCGTCAGAAACTTTAGTATGTAAATATGACCATAATAAATTAGGAAACTGATGACGCCACTGCTGTCCGACTTTGAATGTGAATATGTCCTTCCAGATTTGGTATCAATCTTTATTTTTATTGAATGATCAAATATGTAGTATTTTTTTATTTCTTCAAACGCTTTAAGTTTCAAATGCTGGAGAAAAAATTCAACAAACTTGGAGGAAAGAAATATTCTGGCCTTTAAAATAGTTAGTCTTCCCTGTTGAATTTCCTCGTGAAATCTTTTGGCAAGGGATAGAAATAAAGAGCGGTGTATTTCTAATTCGAAATGAACTGAAACTCTGGCTTTTAAATCAACCCCATTAATTAAAAAGTCAATAGAGACATTTTTGATAATAGCCTCTGCAAACGATTTTCCATAATGGGATGAAACAATTGAAAAGAGCATGGGATGAGAAATTCGGAAATGAGTACCATCTTTAGACACAAATGATCCAAGCATGTTTGCTAGTGAATCTTGTATATCAGAGATTTTGATATGGCTATTCACATTACAAGTTTGAAGGGTAACTTTCAATGTTGAACTTTTTTCAAGTATCTCCTGAGAAATCTTGTTCTTATGAAGCACACACAGAACAAGTGAAGCATAACTAAGACTATCTCTCCTGATCAGACTATCAAGTTCATAATGAAGACAAAGCCAGGGTTCTTTGAAAAATTGCAACCCAAAACAATGCAGACTTTGAATTGAAGAATACAGCTTACACAGTAGTGGAAAAAAGACGGGAGTTTCATTTTCATAGAAATGAATGACCACTTCTGGTGCTGTACAATATTTCCTTAAAATGCCCAATCTTTCCTCAACATCAGGTGCATGATTATTAAAATGAATTATGTTTTCCTTTTCAAAACGATGATTACATTTCAAGGATGTACGGAAAGTATCATTTGAGCACGTTATGAGAAGTTTTGATCCTTTAAAAAGTCTTGTCATGCTTTCATCTACACATAGAAAAGGATAAGGCATGTTTTCAGCCAAGAGATTAAGCAAGAAAAGCTGCGGTTTGCTTAGGCGAAATAAATGATTTATATCTGTAATGTTTGAAATAGGACGACAATGATAAAGTTCCTTGAGTTGAAGAGCAAGGTGGTGAGCTAGACTTGTTTTACCACATCCAGGGTCTCCAACTAAAACGACGACATCAGTTTTCATTATTTTCTCAAAGACCACTTTGTAAGCTCTTGTCTTATAGTAGGTGGCATCATCAGCAAATAATTCCTGAAGCATTTTCTGTTGCTGATCTAAAAAGATAAAAAGACTATTGTGCAAGCTTGTTTGAAGATTTCTGTCTTATATTTATAACAAATTATCTGCCGACACAAAGCTTGCTATTAAAGGATTACCACCCAATGATAGGTCATATATACATATAAGGCCATTACAGGATGATGTAGCCATCCATTGTCGCTCTGGAAATAAATAAGGTAAATCGTGGAAATAAGTCTTGATCATCAGATCGCTTCTTAAGGTGTGGTAGGGGCATGCACCAAAAGGCTGGAGACTATAGTCGAGAACATTTACGGAGAGCTTCTGATCGGATGAAAATCAATCAAAAGCGATAAAGTTTTTAACTTTATCATTAATTTTCCTAAAGTAATGTTCAGTTCACAAATGTCAAATTACCAATTAGAATCAGATCGACACATATATTACCATCATTGAAAAAAAAATTTGACTTCGTAAATAGAAAATACAAACTGTGTAACGTAGGTTTTAATGCGATAGTTCAAAAAGAAAAGGTAGACCTGTTGTTTTGTCGATAGTAATTGATAAGCAAATAGGTTTATTTCAAATAAGAGATAAATGATTTTTTAAAGATGTACTTCATTGAAGTAAATATATTGTGTATTTCTTAATTTATAAAAGGAAAAAATACATTCTGACATTTAATTATTTTGAAGTTAACAGTTGTAGTTAACCTTTAATTCCCGAAAACGTCTCTCACCCCAATCCCATAAACCGAAACTTACACTGTGTGTTCTTCGGGGCTGCAATCACGACCAAAGAATTAACGAAATGCCAACTTAAAACCCGATTTTAAAAATTCTGTCAACAAAAAATTATGTGTGAGTTTAAAAATTGAAGGTACTTGGCAAAGAAGGTGGGGAAAATAAAAATAATAGCAGAGGATAGCAAGGTTTTACCAAAAAAATTAGGAAATATGAGTGGACTTAACTGTTTTTAATTGATAAATCGTGAAAAGAGTTCTTCAAGAGACAACATGTAGTCCTTTTAATTTGCTTAATTGAAGTAATGCAGGGTTCCTAGCTTGATATATGAACAATCTTTTCAGCTCTATAACCGGACAGGTCCGGGAAAATCAGAGACACAGTCTTGTATATATAACATGTGCCGCCATAGACGAGGAATGTTGGAAAAGGATTACTATAGTACCCTTACGTTTTGAATCACGGGTATCCACTGCTTAAGATTTTTCTCCTTCTTATCTTCAACGAGAGAATTTTCTCTCAATGATATGCATTTCTACTTACACATTTCATTGGCATCTATATAGATTGTTTGTCCTCCAACGATTATTTTGTCTACGGAATATCTTCCAAGCACAACAAACTTTTCTGGATTAATGTTTAATAGTTTTTGCACGTATTCATTCTTCATTTCAAAGACTAAATTGAAGCTACTTGTTTGACGAATACCGTCCAGTCGGAGACATTCCTGACAGTCGGTAGGACAACCAACTAACACTGCAATAGTCTCTCTTATTTTTTCAGCATATTCCCGAGGATAGTTTATAATATTTTCAGATATGTGAAAGTGCACATGAGTGAATCCATTGACTAAAAATAAAAATAAAGCATACACATAGAACGTTTGTCAAGGCAATTGAATAATAAGATATAAAAGTTAGTTTGTATTCAAACTGAATACCTGGTGTTTCACTTTCTGCGTAATAACACAAGGCCTTTGATTCCTCTGTTGCATATTTAATGCACATTTTCTCAAGGTCTTCGCGCTTAATGCGTCTCAAAAGAAGTTGCATGAAAACAACGTCGGTACTGCTAAAATAATTTTTAGACAGAAGAAAACTGAAGAAGTCAAGTAAACTATCAATCTCTTCAATTCTACCAGAATCTACTTTAATGCAACCTGGTAATTCTGAAAAAAAGAAGAAAAAGAAAAGTAAAGAATTTTTTTTAAAAATTCCATCGTAATATTTCGTTTTTGTTTGTTAGGCATGATCTAAATGAAATTAATTTTTGTTCCTGTGAACACAGACTAGTACTTATCTAAAGAATCCAAAGACTAATTCAACAACTTACACATCTTACAAAAACAACTCAATCAAAATGTATTAACTGATTATTTTCAATTATTTGTGATTTGAGAACCGTTTGATTTCAATAAATGTTTTGAGTGTTTGTCATCAATTTCTATGCGTTCAAAGATATTTATTCTTTTTAGATTTTATAAAATTTTAAAGAAATTCAATACATTTCGATAATAATTTCATTCTGATTTTATAGAATCATTTATCCTATAGATTGAAAAATATACATACCCAAGCAATGTAAATAATATTTCAATTGTTTTAAGTCGCCTTCGCTCAAGGACTCTCGAATACAATCGATGAATATCAGAAACTTTGCTTTTGAAGGCCCTTCTTTATAAAACTGTATCATGTTTTCTACAAATTTTTAGATATAAAACAATGATTTATTTTATGTATTTTTTTTTTTGAAAATGACAGTCTAATTTTTTTAAGTTAATTTGGAAAGCACAAATGCTCTTTATTTTCTAATATGAATATATAGTTACACAGAATAATTCATTGTTTTCATTTTTCTAATGTGAGAAATTTAAAGATATCTTTAATTTACTGTTTCTCAATATATATCAAATTTTTTGACAAAAATAATGCCATTCAAACCTAAGGAAAAAAGTATAAATTCTTATTAATTCTTGTCAGTAAATGAGAATTTTCATCTTTTTCTGCCTATGATCACTACATTCAAAAACTAACAAAGACTGTCTAATCTCAGTCTAAATTGGGAACAGAAATGTTTTGTATCCCGCTTATTAGCCCTTATGAAGTGCTTTTCTTACTAAGCAAGCCAGATTTTAATAAATCATCAGGTGTAGATACCATCGGTCCACGTTTATTAAAACCTACTGCACAAATATTACATAACCCTGTGACCCATATAATAAATACTAGTATTACATCATGTATTTTCCCGAAAAGTTTTAAACTTGCCAAAGTTACACCTATTTATATAAAGGGAAACAAACTAGATTTAAATAACTACAGACCCATTTCTATTTTACCGAAATTATAAAATCATAGAAAAAAACATGTTGCAAAATATGTTCGATTACTATTTTTAGACTTTGATTTTTTGATAGAATATCAGGTTTCAGAGAATTGCACTCATGTCAAACAGCCCTTACAAAAATGACAGATAAATGGTTATATGAAATGGACCAAGACAAACTTGTTGGTACTGTCTTTCTGCACTCCTTAGAATTAAAAAGTATCTTCCCCTTCAAACACGCAAGTTGTTTTCTAATGCATATATCATGCCTACCATTGATCACTGCCTAACAATTTGGGGAAATACGTCCTGTTCAAATCTTGACAGAGTTAAAAATAAAGTGCCCAGCCACAGCATGATACGCCCGTCAAATATATAGTTCAATAATCATAAATTAAGGTGCAAGAAAATCAGATAACCTTGATTAACAGATTGACACAGATTTCAATGATCTAATTTCCATTTCTTATCATGTTTAAAATATTGTACATACTTACAGTGTAGGGATAAATTATAACAAATAATACATCATATAATTCTAAACTGGCTGTGTTAGAACTTAACGAATATCCACCTGCAGCTTAAATTGTTTATTGCATATTTAATAGAATAATGGAAATGCTACAGTCTAATAAAAAAAAAATCAAAAATAAATTATTCTTTAGACTATAGAATTATAAGTGACGCATGGTGACTGCAATTTGTTGCAAATATTTAAAATTTGAAATGTACCCTGGTAATTTTATTTCAATGAACACACGTATAATTAGTTTTCATTATATTATACAATACTAATTTAGTTTTAATCAAACATTAAACATCAATTTGTTTTAATTACATTACATCAATTGAAAGATCTTTATCTGGACTATAGCCATCAAGAACTCTTAATTAACACAAGCAACTATGAGGCCATTTCTATTTGCCCAACTCCCAAGAGAAAAATTAAGCTGACAGCTGCATGATCATAGATGTTCTTAGACTACCATTTAGCTCCTGACAATAAACTCATTAATTTCTCTCTAATTTGACATGCAAATTTCTGCTATTAAAATTCTTCTTGACCAGTGCTTGATAATTATGCCCATGGGACAAACTGAATTCCTCCTCTCAAAACATTAACATTTGTTACAGATTGCTGTAAAAGTATATGATGAAAAAATAAGTTTTTACTTAATTAACATTTTTTCATAAGGATTTGTTTTAATTATATTATAAAATATTAAAATTACTTTTTAACATACACTGTATTTTAAAGCATCAATCTGTTTTAATTACATTATACCAATTGAAAGATCTTTTTCTGAACTAGCCATCAAGAACTCTAATTAACACAAGCAACTATGAGGCCATTTCTTTTTGCCGAACTCCCAAGAGATTAAAGATAAAGATAACAGCTGCATTTTCAGAGATCTGCACTACCACTTAGCTCTTGACAATAAACTCATTAATTTCTCTCTATTTCTGCTATCAAAATTTTTCTTGACCACTGCTTGATAATTATGCCCATGGGACAAACTGAATTCCTCACAATACATTAACATTTGTTACAAATTGCTGTAAAGCATATAATGAAAAAATAAGTTTTTACTTGATTTAAAACAAGGATACAACTATATTTTTACATTTTTAGGATTATGAAATTTAAAATTTTAAAGACTTAGTTTTTTTAAAAATTCAATCAAATTAAAGGTCACAGTGACCTTGAAATAGGCCGCGACACACCTTCTACCTAAGATGCATAAACTGGCCAAGTTTGATGACTCTGAGTCTAATAGTTTTCTAGTTATGGGCCGGAAAGGATTTTTCCATATTTGGCTATAACTTCTTAATTCAAGGTCAGAGCGACCTACTTTTTGTGCGCGACACACCTTCTACCCAAGACGCATCAGATGACAAAGTTTGATAATCCTAGGCCTAATAGTATTAAAGTTATGAGCCGGAAACGAAAAAGCTAACAGACAGACAGACGGACAGACGGACAGACGGACGGACACGAAGCCTATAACATAATACGTCCCGTCTAAAGACGGGCGTATAAAAAATCAAAAAAGTGCTGCAAGGTATATTTTATCATTGAGTCAAATGATGACTGACGTTTTTTAAAACCAATTGTTAGTTCATTATTTATACACTGAATTGACGACGGATCTTTTCCGTTATTTCCTGATCATGATCACGGCGGGTGTGACCGGTCGGCAAGGAATGCCCACTCCCTCATGGGACCTGATCCCATCTCTGATGTTTCGGGTTTCCGTGTTTGCTATCCTCTTATTTTGTATTGTTTTAGTGACTTTGAGATTGAATACTGTTCGTTATCTCCATATCCTTCCTTAGAGGCCCCCCTGATGCACCCTCACGACCTTTTTTTGATACACTTGATTGCTTACTGCTTATGAACAGCTTACTGCAAATAAATATGAATTGTTATATAAATCCCTCTTTAATTCTTGTCCTACTTATTTACATGAAATGTTTCAATTTCAAATTAATAACCAATATACTCTTCGATCTGAATCAAATTTTGATTTCTGTATGCCAATTCATAAATGTTAACTTTTTGAAAAATCCTTCCAGTACCCCAAACAGAAAAAAAACAGCCTATCTGATCATGCTAACAACTCATGTGTAAATCATGATTTTGATATGATTTCGGTATAGGAAAATTTCACATGCAAATGAGCTAATGGATCATGGTTCTGAGATAATCTGTTAAACTAAACAACTAGCAAGAAAACCATGATCCTGGTATCGATCTGTTGTAGAGCTAAGAACTCGTATTAAAACCATGATCCTGGAATGATCTGTTGTAGCTAACAACTCGTATTAAAACCATGATCCTGGAATGATCTGTTGTAGCTAACAACTCGTATTAAAACCATGATTCTGGTATGATCTGTTGTAGCTCACAACTCGTATTAAAACCATGATCCTGGTATGATCTGTTGTAGCTAACAACTCATATTAAAACCATGATCCTGGTATGATCTGTTGTAGCTAACAACTCGTATCAAAATCATGATCCTGGTATGATCTGTTAAATTGAACAACTCATAGGAAAATTCTACTTCTTAAACAATTTAACTAAACACTTTGCTATTTGCAATAAAGTTCTCTTTAATATTTGATAAATAATATCAGTTACCAAAAATTAAGAAAAATATTATACACACATGTCACAAGAACCATGACGTCATATAAATATAATCCCAACAAATGATCTTCCTTAATAAGATGACGATTTGAATATAAAACATTATCCAAACTATTCACTGAATTTTATAAGAACATAATCACAGAAATCTATTCTTCTTAAAGAATAATCCGGAACTCAATGATATCACTGCTTATTTATGATTCTGCAAAAGCATATAATTACAACATTTGTTCACTACAGAATCAGCAGAGTGGTGGATCTATTATTCAGAATCACAAACACTGAAAGGGCTCCCAATGAAGTAGTCTATCCTCTGATATAAGCTCTTTATATATGTATATAAGCACCCTGAAAAGAAACGTAGAGAAAGTGGTATTTATTTATCGATCAACATATCATTATCTTTAGATCATGAAAATATGAAATATTCAAGTACTTTCCCCATTGCATTAGTGAAAAGAATTAGATTAATCACCAAAAGAATAAAATTGTTGAAATGTAATATTATTTACGTACACAAATTTTGTCTTCACCAAAGGCGGGTCTTTTGAATTTGGTAATTTGAATGCAACTCATATGTTAATCATGAAGATGGAAATGTCGGTAGCTGCAAAAGAATTTCATTTTTATAAATAAACATTTTATATAACGATTAACATGTACATGTACAGCAAATATTTAAATCAAGGAAGTCAATTTGATACTTAAATTACGTTTTTCAATGCAAATCAATGTAAAGCTTTGCTATGTCTCTTCTTCACATTTACAAAGAAAAAATAAATCATGCACTTGTTAGAAGAAACTAGAAATTAATAAAAAAAGGTCAATAATAAAATTAATGAATTATACTCACCGAGTATAGAGATAAAAGTCCAGCACTTATTGTTATTGCTTATATGGTGCAAAGGCTTTTCTTTTAAATCGGCAACAAGAAAACGCGCACATCTTGTTTATCAAAATTCAAATTCTGACCTAGATCAGCTGCAAACCACTGTACTACAGCGTGCTGCCCAGCAGGAGAATTGCATAGCAAGGTTACTATGACTCTGAAACTGACCAGTGATCCAATCCTAATCTAATGCTACAAAGTTAGATTGGAAGTGGATCACAAATATTACATGAAAAGAAAGAGTTTTAATAAAATCCTGGCTGCGTTATTTAAACAAAATACATGTGTGCTAATTTAAATATGAATTATTGTTTTTGTTTGTCATTTCATTCAACGTCAAAAAAATTATTGTCTTTGTAACTATACCTGTACATGCTGTGTGCATTTTAATTATTAAAACTTAATTTTCCTGTTCTCTTTTAAATAAGACTTTTATTGATGTATGCATGTTGTTTGATTCTCCAAGCTAGAGTGAATTTAAAGATTGCATTTTCACCTATCATAGATGACAAAGTTAACAAACCATATCAGGATCATACAACCAATTCTGACAAAGTTAACAAATCATATGAAACTCATGATTCTCAACAGTGAAGTTAACAGATCATGTGTAACTCATATGGAGTTTAAAGACAAAGTTTAGAAACCATATCAAAATCACAAACTTTTAGCAGTTAAAGTTAACGAATCATTTCAAACTCATGTTCCTTTGTTTTCTAAGTAAATGGCACATGTCAGAATCGCAAGAAAATCATAGCAGACTTATTCCCCAGAAACAAACCACATCAGGATCATACTTCCTTATTTGTCATCTATGATTTCAGTTTGATCCATTTAATGGATCATGTCTAAATCATAGTTCAAAATCATGAATTTGTGAGTTTGATATGGTTTGTATGTGATTTTGGCATGATTTGTTAAGAAAAGTTTTTGTTTGGGACTCTGGCACCATTTTTTGGAATGCTTTACCGGTGCACATTAAATTGTCACCAACTGTTAATGCTTTCAAGAGACAAGTAAGAAACATTATGTAAAACAAAGTCGAAATGATTTGCGATTTATGTTTATTTGTTTTTGTATTTTTATGTATATATTTATAACATGTCTGTATGTATATAACTCTTAATCTTTATATTCCTAATTGCCAGAAGGCCTTGGGGAAGAATAGTGCTTGCGAATGCTAGACAACTCGCCCCCAAGACAAGTCGCCCCCAAGACAGCTCGCCACCTTTTCAGGACAACTCGCCCCCAATTTAGGACAACTCGCCCCCTGTTAAGACAACTCGCCCCCAGGTTAAGATAACTCGCCCCCAGCTTTAAGAAAGCAAATTGGGGGCGATATTTTTTTTATATAAATGTATATATTTTTTATTTAATATATATATTTTCATATTATTTCGATATTTATTTTTATTTCAAATGTTTCTGGTGTCAGTTACGCTAAAAAATTGTACTCCTCTCCTCACGTGAGATGCCTGAAAAAGAAATATGTTTTAGATTAAATCCATCAATATTTGCATTTATGCGGTCATTTATGCCTATAACATTGCGCTTAAAAAAGGAGAAGATACGATTAATATAATTTTTTTCTATGAAATTAAAATGTTTATTTTTTATATAATATTAAATATATTTTTTTATTGAATTATTTGAATGTGATTTTATATTTTAAATTATTTGTTTCCAACTCAAGCTTTCTTGAATTCTTCATCACTTTAAGGTTTTAAGTTGCTTCGGAGCTTGGATACACCATTTTTTTTTTTATCAACTGTATATACGTAATTTTCGAGGCTTGCATGCTCTAATTCTTCATTACTTTAAAGCTGCTTTGGAGCTTGGACAAGCCAATTTTTGGTCAACTAAATATACATAATTTTCTTGGCTTGCTTGTCCTAATTGATCATCACTTTGAAGTTCCAAATTACTTGTGAGCTTGGGGATTTCATTAAAATTCTGTTTGATGTTTTCATTTCAGTTTTCATAAGTTTCCTAAAAGCCGTCAATAGAATATCATTAATATGTCATTAAATAATTAAGATTGTTCAACTTAGAACATTGTACTTGATTTACCTAGACATATTCTACAGTTAAAAATTTAAAACAATATAATGCATTTTTTGCTTTATTTCATAAGAAAAAAGTCTAAGGAAATAATAAATATTTCATACATATATTGTATTTACTTTATATATGAAAAAACCCAAACAAATAACAACATATTACACACACAATCGTAAATATTAATTTTATTTTACTTATAATAAATATCAATTATAAATCAGAAATTAATTTTGCATTTAAAATATATTTTAGTGAATAATATATGTCGTTTTTTCCTTGCAATACACAATGAAATATAATGGGGGCGAGTTGTCTCTACAGTGGGGGCGAGCTGTCCTGAGTGGGGGCGAGTTGTCCTAAATTGGGGGCGAGTTGTCTTAACAGGTGTTGGGGGCGAGTTGTCTTGGGGGCGAGTTGTCCTGATTCCGTGCTTGCACTAATCAGGTTACCTTCTTTAAATAAAGTGTTACCGATTTCCCCCATGACTAAAATTACCCACAGCTTGGATCACCCCAATTTATGTCCTACATATTTGATCTAGGTAACGTATATTAATTTGTAGATATCATGGGAATATTACCAATCATCGTATGTTATTATTGTATGCTTTATAATTCATTTTATATGTTTATTTCATGGAAATCATTTACTTGTATTGTACAAACCCGAATTTTCTCCATTGATCAGGCCTATCGTAATAACAAATAGCCGTCCGGCATTGTAATTCTACTTAGGTACCCACATCCAACTTGGCATTGTTTCCAAAACAATTTCCAAACAACAAGTGATCCTTTTCCCCATATTTGTAATGCTAAAGCCTTTACTTGGTGCAAAAGTTGTTAGTGTTTCCATACAAACGTCGCGCGAATACTGGCGGTACCGCTTGTTATTCGCGCGTGAACTAATTCGCACCGGAATATGAATAAAGAAGGCACTTTGGACTTTTTCCTCAGTCTGGGACCTTGGTCAGACTCATCAACATCTGGCCAGCTCAGAGAATCCCAACTCCCCAGAAGTGGGTAAAATCTGATGCCCCAATATTGGGTAAATTGACCAAATATTAAATCTTGGGTAACCCAATCTACACAATTATTACATACTCTAACCCAACTTGAATCAGCTGAACGTACTATCCCATTATTGATATTGAGGAACTCAACCAGCTGACTATTATATATCCTGTCCCAATACCCATAAGTATACACTCTGTTTGTATTTAATTAATCATAAATTATTATTGTTATTGTTTGAATAAATTCATTTTTATTAATAAACAAATCTTGTTGATTAATTAAGGTAAATCACAGGAATAAGAGGACTCACATAATTTTTGTAACACCCAAGATCGGGTCACGTTACAAAAGTATTATTATTATTACATATTAAAGAGTTCTACTTGTAGGGTAATCTTATGCAGTAAGAGTTCTCTGTCTGAATAAGTAAGATAAAAATGTCTATTTACTGTAACACATTTTATGCTAGGTTAGAATATTCGTAACATTATTGGAGCAAGAAAAAGTAATTTAACTCATTAATTCTATATATATTTTTTCCAAATTTAGGTTAACAACAGGAATTTCATGCTTACAAATAGTCTAATGTCTCTGAACATTTTTCTTGCATACATAATGCAGATACCCTATGTTGATAATGACGTAAATGTCTTAAAATAACATCTTCATGTCGTATGTTGTTCTCAAAGTACAAAACACATTTTTCATCAGTGTTGAGATCATTCTAAGGTAAAATTATACTCCTTGAATCTTATTTTTTGAGTCCCTTACCTTGTCTCTTTAGATTATCCTCTTGGTTACTTTTTATAAATTCCGGAACTGTAATTTAAAATGTTTAAAAATTATATCGTAAAAAATGGAAATAATTTAAAAGTACATATTTACAAAAAGTGTATAAGAACAATACACTTACCGTCTATTATGACATCCGTCTTCCCTACAAAATTTTCTGCAATGAGCTTAATTTTTTGTAGTTTAATAGCTTCAATCTTTTTAACTACCAGTTTTGGAAATGGACACAAATTACAACTATCTTGATACATCGAGTCCATTATATTGATGGGAATGCACTGAGGTTTATTGTCTGTGGTAATAATTTTTTCCCAATTCAGAGTGGTAACAGAAGGAACAGATAATACTCTTGCTGAAAAGGTTGTCGAAATTTCAGTGTCCGTCCCTTCCTTTAAAGTTATTTCTGGTGGACCTAAAGAGTATATATGTATACTGTATATATGACTGCAATTTTAAAGAAATCCTTGTTTTTCAAACCTGTTTATACTAGAAACATTTACAGGTACTTAGCATTATTTCTTAAATAAAAGATTACATCTACATGTACATGTAACATCACCATTAAGAACATATCTTATGAATGTCTGGTACTCGGGATTCAAGGTTGAATTTTGTTTCAGATGATTATCTAGATTTATTTAGCAGATGTAACTATGTTTTAGAATAATAGAGAAAACAAAATGATTATTTTTATGATATTATGCAGGAAAACTACATTATCAAATAAGCCTGATGTATCGCAATCTGGGAAGGTATTACGAAATACTTAATATATGAACACATTTATATACATAAATATAACAAAAAAATCATTTTTAAAATGCAAAATGTATGCATATATAGTATGTTTGTAAGACAGCAATTTTCGTGAAGCTAAAACTATAAGAGATAAAATATTATTTGTTAAACAAATACAATACAACAATACTACTAATAATGATAAAATAAAAAAAAAATACCTAATTGAACGATTTCACTCTCGGCCTTTCCAACCAGATTTGCCACAACACATTTATATAACCCAGCATCATATTCATCTATATTTAATATACAAAGTGATCGTTGATTTTCTTGAAGAAAACGGTATTTAGCGGTGTTTTCAGCTATAGGTTTCCCATCTTTTGACCAGTGTATTGAAGATACAGGGGGAGAATGTTCGTCAATGGAAATATCAGTCATTATCCGTACTGATCGTGCTTGCAGGTCAGTTATATGACCAATGGTGATCCTTGGAACGGCTAAAAGAACATTAAAATTTCTTTAAGAAATAAGGTATAATTTTAAAACATCTATCGGGCTATAAATACGGATTGGTCACGAAATAAAATTCCATAAAGCCCAAAGGGCTTTATGATAAATTTAATCTCGTACTAACCTTTTGACCTTGCACCGATATTTATAGAGTTATAGATACGCATTGCTTTCAGTAGTGTTATATAAAGGAAAACATTTGCAAATGTAAATATTTTAAAATTACTTTTGAAAATAAATTGAAAGTGACATTTCATTTTACAAAACAGAGTTACTGTAGTAAGCTAAGAGTACTTACAACCCAAAACACGTAAAACAAAGGGATCACTTCTGACCTCCCCAATTGCATTAGACACAGCAAAATGATAAATACATTGGTCTCCGAAATTAGTATTATGGATGAAAAGTCTCGATGTTTGGACATGCAAAGTACTTCCTTGATATTTAAAAGTTTGAATATCTATATCCATTAACTTGTTTTTATCATTTATAATCCATTTCTTTTCTAAAATGGGGAGATCTGATTGAATTGTTGAACAAATTTCTGCTGTGTCTCCAAAACGGACACTTTTTGGTCCCGATAAAATTACGCATGGAATTCCTAGCAAATAAAAAGACAAAAAATATATAGTTTAATGAATGTTATATAATAGATTTGATAAGTGTATATAAGATGCCAAAGAAGATGCAATAGTTATATAAAAATGATTTCTTCGGCTTATTTAAATAATTAAGAACTCGCTTTTAAAATAAATGTTTACACTTCTTATCTATATATATAGACAGAAAATTATATACAAGGAAAGCGGACTTACTTCCTGAGACCGTCAAATCAATTTGGTTGGAGTGGATATGTGTCTGGTTGAGCTCTAGCATGATTGCTTGGTATTTTCCGTTATCCTCAAATGAGACATTCCGAATCATAAGTTTCTCATTTAAGCTGCCTTCATACTTTTCATTTTTTATATCTATTTCATGCGCAACGGCGCCTTCTCGTCTAATCCAGGAAACATAATGGATATTATTGTTAGATTCTCCGTCAAACTTGATATAAAATTCAGCATCGGCACCATATTCCACAATAGAGGGACCGCAGATTTGTAGTTTTGATGCTTTAAACAAAATAAAAATACTGTAGATCACTAAATTTTTGGCGACACCCTATTTTCGCGAGATACTTATTGACCCTATATTAACGATACGTAATTTTCTTTATCATCGTAAGGAATACTTTTATACGGGAGAATTGAATTTTAACGAGATCATTGTCTCGCTTAATCACTCGACAATAAAGTTCTCGCAAATAAAAAGTGATCAAAAGAAAAAAATATTAAAACATGCATAAAACAGTATTTCTTGCAACTTTATCCTATTATGAGATTTATATAGAACTGTCAAAGACCTTTTATCTTTTATTCTTTTTAATCATAATTTTTATTTTTTAAATATCTCACTATAATTACTTACTTTTCTTTTCTTGTTCCAAGACTAACTTATCCACATTTTTAGATATTTCAGATAATTTTCTATGAACATTTTGATTATCTAAAGCTATAAAGGATTGATAGAATTCTAAGGATTCCATCCCAAAGTCCTTTTGTAAAATGTCTCCGAGGCCGATTTGATAATGAATTGAAGAAGATAGCGTTTTCATTTTGATTTCAATTCTTTTACAGATATCTTCTAAGGAAGACCATAATTTTTGGAAGTCGGAATCTGATATCGACGAACTTTTCAAATGTGCGAATGAGTTGTTTCGTAGGTATCTTAGCCTCTCAATATCATCCCCAACACAAAGATGACTGTTAAACGGATTAATTCCCCATCCTCTCGTTGGTTTGAATGCAGGGCAGAGATTTCGAAGTAAAGTGTATAGTAACGTAACATCAAATGCTTCATAGTCTGGATCCTGAGTTGAATTTGGACACACAAGACAACGTTGCTCTTGACGAAGTTTTAAAGTAGTGCAGTTTGTTACCGCTGAAGGTAAATTATGAGGCTGAATTTGACTCTCTAAGAGTTTTCGCAAAATTCGGGGTATTTCTTCTACTGCTGCAATTCCAAAATAAACAAAATTTGTTTGATCCGAAGTCAATTTTGGCGTTGCCATTATCAGCGTTTCTCAAGGTGTGCACCTGAAATTTCAAAATAAATCATATACATGTAGAACTCGATAATAAACTTTGATAATTCAAAAATACGGCTCGCTCTCCAGTCGAGAGTCTGATATCACAATCTTCTTCCAGGGGTCTGATAGGCAAAATGGTGAATATATGTAGCAAAATCAACCTTAAATAGTTTACTTCTCTTTATTTCTGCTATAACTCTATTATCAAAATCGATTTTGAGGAATAGTCTCCTGTTTTTCTACTTGTATATGCTATATAAAGCGTGATACATTTGTTTCATTTGAGTGATTTTCTAGCCTGATTGTCGACATGTTCACATCTCCGATAGAAATCCATAAACTGATCAAATACATGTTTGAAAAGAAAAGTTCAACTAAAAAAAAAGCTTTACTGAGACGATTTTTTAAAATGCATTTGCTGCAATTAAAAAAAAAACCCTTACACTGAATACATTGATGAACAGCGAAAGCCGTTTAGATATGCATGCATGCAGGTCGAAAAAACGCATTGAACTTTGTGATTAACATATAACCTGAACAAACTGCTATCATTACCTTGATGTGCACATGTCGAAAGAAATATCCTATTTTACTTTTTATTGAAATTTGATTCTCAGACGTCATGTAATCCATTGACAACTCAACAGTAAAAAAAATGTCAGCGCTTAGCACTTTGACACACGTGGTCCATACTGGTTAGGGAAAATTTCAAGGAAGGAAATCTTACTGTTATTTGGTTAATTGAAAATAAAATGAAAATAAAATTTATGACCTTGACTTTACTACATCAAATTTATTATATAACATACATCATGACGAAGGTTTCATCTTTTGAAGAGATTTTCCTGTGAAAGGGGGAGGGGGGTATTAAAAAAGCATAATTGTCTCTTAAAATAATTTAAGAAAACGCCTGAAAAAGATTGGATTTCTTGTCGATGAATTATTTTTAAATAATTACTGTGTAATGGCTTTTATTTTTTAAAAATAAAAGTTATCTATTATTTTATACACAAAAAACAAAACAAGATTCTGTGGTAAATGAATGATCAAAATAGAATTAAATGTGAATTATATTTCTTGATATATAATATTGATAAATGAATAATTGTAAAAGCATACAGGAAGTGGAAAACTGATTAGAATTTCATTTTCTACCCAAAATTTGTTTTTCTTTTTTATTTCCCTCGGCTACGTATTTTTTCCCAGATTCCTAACATGAGAAGGTTTAAGAATGGTCCCAATGTTCCATTTCTGTGGTATTGATTTCACGTTTATTTCCCTTTCGATGTCTTTAATTTAATATACCTGCCTTTTATGCCTTTGTTCTTTTATTCTATTAAATCCTTTGTAGTACCTTTAAATCTTTTGTCATTATACCCGTATACTGTAATAGATATGTCCGTACGTCCGTCCGTCTGTACATCTCTACGTCCATCTGTCTGTTTGGTTGCCCATTTCTTATCCGCAACTCCTCTTATACCTCTGAGTGAAATTTAATGAAACTTTCACAGAATCTTTATTACATATTTCTATTGTGCACTTCCTATTTTACTTTTTGATCCGACATATATCTTGGGTTTCCCGGCCACAGCATAACATGGACTTTTACATTATAACAATATGGGAGGCGGGGCTATCATTTATTGAGCTCAATGTCCACATTACCGCTAGTTTTATCATTATGCTTACAAGTTCTGGAGTGAAATGAAAGACGCGTTTAGGCCTTTGTAGCATACGATTTAAAAAAAACCTACAGACCGGTGCTTATTTAAAGAGAAACTTTCCAAATGCATTTAGAACGCTCTAAAGAAGTAAATTTAATTTAGATAATATAACTGTACACCACATTCTAAATAGAACATTTTAAAACCCATGTATATTTTATTCTTAGACAAATCAGATTTGAAATCTTTTTTTCAAATTTAACAGAAATCTTAATGGCTTAATAAGCTTGATTTATCGTATTTTGCTTTGTGTTATTGAAATATAGGCATAGTCAGAGACATTTTTTTTTTATTGAATTAGTTCTTATAATTCAAAATTGATATACATGTTTAATAGCTGGTCAGTGGTCTAGTGAACATTCTAAACCTTGTCAACAACATGGTCCAGAACACTGATTCTGGATAAGACACTGGTGAAAATGTGCTTTGCATATAAACAAACTATTTTAAAAAAGCTGTACTATAAATATCTAGTGATTAAAATTTCATCAAATCAAAACAATCTCGACATTCTGAGAAAATCTTATATAATTTTAATTAATTTAAAGATATTTAAGAATGAATTGAACAGCTACCTTGTCTATAACTTATAAACAAGTGTTTGGCAGTTTACGCATTATAAACGGTTCCAACCCCGTTTATACTGTATGAATTGTGAAGCTATTGACTTCATTCCTCTTAATTTAATTTTCATTCATTTATTAAGATGGAGCACACGGCCTCCGTGGTAACTGATCCCACCTCGAGATCCGATCTTTGAATGTCCGTGATAGCTCTGCTTTTTTTGTATTGTTAAATGGAATTTGAATACTGTTAATTGTTTCCATATGTTTTATTCCATTAAAATTGTAAAAAAAAAAAAAATTGAATGTTATATCAGGCGGATCGATACGTTTTTGACGTAAGTCATTTTGGCGTATGAAACCCAATTTATACAATATAAAGTAATGTTTTTTTTTTTCAATCAAATATTACAAAAAACCAGAATTAAACTGTAAAAGGTTACTAGAAGACATATGTTTTACAAGTGAGCACCCAAAAAATTAAATGAATAAAAATTGTAAATGGATAGAAATTGAAATTACCAGGTCATGAAACCTCTCTTGCTGGCAATAATTGGGTTGTTTTTATGAAATCGTTTAATATTATTTATAAATATTGAGTAAAATTTATCGTAAAAGACTTCCAGAAGTTTGAAACTTGGAGGTTTCCAATTCTGGATTCCACTCTTGCTGGTAATCGTTTGTTATTGGGTTGTTTTTGTAGACAATTTTATCCAGTGAAATTTATATATCTTGTGATAGATTTCTATATATTACTGTCTACTTCTTTTTATGAAATAAGTAAATGCAATGTTGGCAATTGTGATAGTAATTCCTAATATTGGTAAAATGCCAAAACCTTTGAATACACATCTTAAACAACCTTGTACATTTAAAGTAGGGATCTAAGGGTTTTTTAACTGTATAATAATTACATTTGATATGTCTTTCTCAACTAGTATTTTGAAATTCTATTCTTTATTATGTTTTTTTTTTCCTTCGTTGTATAATCATCTGTTAAAATAGTCCACGGACTTTAAGGTAGTCCAATCCTTAGGTTTATAAAATTAGCAGTTTAGTAATCAAAAATACTCATAAAAGTATCTCTGAGTCCGCAAAGTTATGTAAATTTATCCACAGTATTTCTTTAAAGTTAAAGATAAAAGTTTATCATGTTATATAGGGAAAGTTATCAAAATTATCGATATTTTTGCAGAAAAAACAAATTCGAATATCAGCAATGCATTTTCTAATTGCATATTGATCAACAAGTGTATTTTAGGTTTAAAAAAACGATAGGTATCTAGGCATTCAGAGAAATTGTCATGATTTTTTTTTACTTATTTGGTATTTTTGGTCTTCTATTTCCGTCATGTATTCTATAATACATAATGTAAAAGGCTTTTGCTATCATTGCAAGACACCACAAATAACTTCTTATTTCATATCATGCTAATAAGCATTGGTATCTAAGGCTGGGTTCAAGAAAATCTTATTTCTCCAAAACTGTTTTATTTTTTTTCCTATTGTAGGGTACAAATGTCAACTTTTATAAGACCTTTTTTAAGACTTCCAAAAACCTTGAATCTTAAAAGATGAATAATGAAAATTGTTGCACGAAAAAAAATCATTTTCAAGCTTAATTTTGATGCATTTTAAATTAAATATTAATTCTTGGAGTGATCCTTCCTGGCTGAGGATCGGATATCTTTAAATTGAAATAATTTGAGGTGCGTTAAATCAAACAATAAAATACCGGGTATAACATTTTTTATCCACTCGCAACGGGGTAGGTAGGGATATTTGTAACGCAAGCATGTATGTATGTCTGTTTGTGGGTGTCCTGTGCGATTTGATATGGACGTGGAAGTGAAAGCGTAGTAATTTGCATCGAATGATGTCTTTTACAGGTATGCTTTTAGCGAAAGGGGGGTATTATGTACTAGATACTACCGAAGGAAACGATTACGTTATCTTACAGGGTATTATTGATGTCCTATTTTATTAATGACAGGACTCTTTTATCATTTCCTCTTTTAGATAACATCTCTTGGTCAGTGAAGTAATTCTTTAGAATGCTGAAATTTTTGGTAATTGAACAAATTTGATATGTAAAATGTTTACTTCCTTAACTTCATTCTGCTATATCATTCTACATTCCTGTTTAATATTTCAGTCTGAATGGTTAAGCCGCATTTAACAATCCCTAACTTGACAATGCTTAACATTATGCATGCTAATTATGCACACTGTTTACTGCAGAATTCTCGAAAGTCATTTGTGCATTTTAAACGCAGTGTAAACGATGTCAATGAAAGATTGAGTCCGATGTAGCTTTCTTGAACAGAACAATCGACATACGAAACATCCTTGCGATTGCAAACTTTAGATGATAAAGGAATTTGGGGTGTTGTAAAAAAAATTGAGTGGTCGGTATTTTCTTTTCGAAGCTTTTTTTTGGCGAAAAAAAGAAGCGGTGAGTTTGAAACCTTTCCAAACATGAATCTAACGACGTTCTCCGATTTTTAATAACATCCGAAGTAAGACAATTATCATAATAATATGAAAGAAAAAGTGAGCAAGCTTACATACCCCGCGCTCCCCCAAAAGTCAAAGTGCTGAAATTTCCGGAAAAATGAAGGAATCAGAATTTCCTGGTAATAATGACATCTACACCTTGTGTCATAAATATATGTGTATCTGCAAAGTTTGACAA